CCGTAAAAATCCAGCATGAAAACACCACGTTATGAAACCCACTGACGTCATCCGCTGGGCACCCGTACCACACACGGCCATGAAATGGGGCCTAGGGGAAATAACAGCATATTGTGGACTGAAGGCATTCACTTTGAAATTGCATTGCATCCTATGTCTTATACCATCAGGGAATAATTTTGTGCAATCAGTCCTCTTGATGTCAGTGATTTGCCTCTTTTGAAAGCGAAACGCTATGGACAAATAACGATATTTTGCGCTCCATTAGCTGAAATCTCAGAAGTTGATCGAAAAGAGAGGGAAATATTTTACGTTCTAAAATAAAGCCAAGAATATTAGAGATAATATTTGTGAAAGAAAGTTTGACCTCAAAAATAATAAATTACAGGGTTTGGAATGAAAGAAAGACAAATAATGAGTCACATAATCCAGGCATGCTAGGGCATACTTAACAAAGGCATCAATTAAGACAATAAAGACACAGACAACAAACACGGGACGGTCAGGAATGCAGTCAAGCACATCGACAGACAGCCAAACAGGAAGGTAACGATAGAGGGACTAAGAGGCGAAAGGGCAGACATACGGAAAACATATTTTTGTCTTTTGCTCAGACAGACAAAGGGACAATTAACAACGAAGTTTAGAGACAGACTATCAACAATAGATGCTAAAGGAAAGGCACGGAGCACGTAACTGCCTTTAAAGTTTTAAACCCTTTGACACCGGTCATCAAAACGGAAAGAAACACCCCAGTTATATTATGATAATGATTAGGCTTATTCATCTGCGTTGCAGTTGATGCGGTAATTCTTCAAAGATAATGCATTTTGATATGTAATGTAATGGCACTAATACAAGTTCCATGAATCACACGATGACAGCTAGATGAGGAGATAAGATTGGCAAAAAGTAAAACAAATTTAAAGACAAAAGTTATAACACGAGATTATTAATTGTTTTCTAGTAAGCGTTTTACTGCACTTGCAATACAATTAGGTGATACAAGTGCCGTAGCAAAAGACTGACACAAGCACATGTGTACAGACATACAATCAAACAGGCACAGCTACGGCCAAAAAGACAAACAGCAAGGCTTACGGACAGTGCAGAAAGAAAAAATAGATATGCAGTTTAGTTTTAGCAGAGTTTTTTTACGCGCTCACTCACAACTGCATAAGGTCATATGACGCCAATAGATTGTACATTATAGTAGTAGGCCTACATAGATGGCAAATCTATTGGCGTCATATGACCTTATGCAGTAGGCACGATTATGCAGGTAGGCACGATTAATTACGTTCAAAGAGACACAAAATTAAAACGGCAGGCAGTAAGCTCAGAAAAGAAGGATTGAGCAGATAATATGTACATACACAGAGACACATAGGCCTGACCTGACCATCAATGATTTATTTATAGAGGCATCCATGTGAGACACATAGGCAAAGAGACAGTCAGACTGACAGGCAGGGGAGCCAGGAAACATGGGTGAAATGTTTTATTATCCAAGTACACTTACCGACAAATCCGGCTAGGCACGTCTCTCCTCAGCAGTCACGTCCACTCGGAAATAACAGCATCTTCCAGAGCCGCCCGAAGGTACAAACACACGCACGCACACACACACACACACACACGAGGCCAACGATTATAGTCATCCAGACGTTTGAAAGCAGGCAGAGCAGTGGACCAACGCCAGCCTCTGTCTAGATCATTGTCTGATCCAAATTGGCCGTGAACAGCTTAGAAACTCTCTATTGAGTCCGTTCTTGAGCCATGCGCTTGGGCTTGAGCTGCGGTATTTCGTGTATCTTAAAGATGTAGATGTAGGCCTAAATAAGAATAACAAGCTCTTTAAAATGATAGAACACTTCACGGCCTACCATACCAACGGTGGAGAGTAGCATGGTACGCCGGTGTCTATGGTGTAATAGTTTGGCTCTTTGCTGTTGTACGCGAAATAATGTACGAGTTCGACAACCACACGGGGACGTCTTTTCTGTCAAATATCTCTTTTTTCTGATGATGCCTTAAATTCTCTCAACCCGGATAAGCCTTCACAGGCAAGAACGAAGCTGCCCGCTCTCCAATTTAAAAAAAAAAAGTTTTAGTAGAGGTTTTACGGCGCTAGCAACTACATAAGATCATATGAGCGCCTCTCCTC